ACAACCTTGTATGCTGGAGTTAACAACCTTGTACACTGGAGTTAACAACCTTGTACACTAGAGTTTACAACCTTGTACACTGGAGTTAACAACCTTGTATGCTGGAGTTAACAACCTTGTACACTGGAGTTAACAACCTTTTACACTAGAGTTTACAACCTTGTACACTGGAGTTAACAACCTTGTACACTGGAGTTAACAGCCTTGTACACTGGAGTGAACAACCTTGTACACAGGTGTTAACAACCTTGTAGACTGGAGTTAACAACCTTGTACATTAGAATTAACAACCTTGTACACAGGAGTTAACAACCTTGTATACTGGAGTTAACAACCTTGTACACTGGAGTTAACAACCTTGGACACTGGAGTTAACAACCTTGTATACTGGAGTTAACAACCTTGTACATAAGAATTAACAACCTTGTACACTGGAGTTAATAACCTTGCACACATGAGTTAACAACGTTGTACACTAGAGTTTACAACCTTGTACACAGGAGTTAACAACCTTGTACACTGGAGTTAACAACCTTGTACACTGGAGTTAACAACCCTGTACACTAGAGTTTACAACCTTTTACACTGGAGTTAACAACAACTTTGTACACTGGAGTTAACAACCTTGTACACTGGAGTTAACAACCCTGTACACTAGAGTTTACAACCTTGTACACTGGAGTTAACAACAACTTTGTACACTGGAGTTAACAACCTTGTACACTGGAGTTAACAACCCTGTACAATAGAGTTTACAACCTTGTACACTGGAGTTAACAACATTTGACACTTGAGTTAACAACCTTTTACACTGGAGTTAACAACAACCTTGTACACTGGAGTTAACAACCTTGTATACTGGAGTTAACAACCTTGTACACTAGAGTTTACAACCTTGTACACTGGAGTTAACAACATTTGACACTGGAGTTAACAATTTGTGCATTGAGAAATGTGACACATAAAGTAAAAATTCATTTCTACCAAATTTGAATGTTTGTGAAATTGTTAGTTAATTGTATGTAAAGTATTAATAATTCTTTTTACTACATGTATACGACCAACGTAATGTGAAATACATGGAACACATGACGCTTCTTAGAGAATCATACCTCGTCACCAACACAGCACATTTTACAGAATTTACAACATCTGCAGCAGCAGCAACAATAATCCTGACAGGTACAGAGGTGTGACTTTGGATACACGTGTCTGGCTCCAACCGACAGCATGGGGCCAGAATAACACCTGAAACCGACAACATGAAATCAAGGGTAATATGTCACGTGTCTGAAGTAGTACCTATAATCAGCAACATTCATTATGGGTAATGCACCAAGGTCCAGATCACTATTAGTAATCAACAACATTCATAATGGGTAATGCACCGAGGTCCGGATCACTATCAGTAATTAATAACATTCATTATGGGTAATGCACCAAGGTCCGGATCACTATAAGTATTTAACAACATTCATTATGGGTAATGCACCAAGGTCCGGATCACTATAAGTAATCAATAAAATTGAATTTTGGGTAATGCACCAAGGTACGGATCACTATACGAAAGCAACAACATTGAATTATGGGTAATGCACCAAGGTACGGATCACTATACTAAAGCAACAACATTGAATTATGGGTAATGCACCAAGGTCCGGATCACTATACGAAAGCAACAACATTGCATTATGGGTAATACATGGCAGGGCTGTATAGCACCTGTAGCTAATAACGTCATTCTCGATTGTAACCATCGTCTATATATCCTTCTTAATTTTGTCCATTCATACTGAACATTGAATATAAACCAACAATTTCAATTATAATTCTTACGTTATTGGCAATTAAACGTAGTATTATTTGAAACTAGCAAAAAATACTCAGTCGTGTTTTGCCCTGCGCGGGACAAAGTCCTGTTTTCGACAAACAGCGGGCGATTCCAAATTGACAACTTGCGAATATGCATATTCATAGTTTTATTGCCTTTTCACACAGAATTCAATTTTCGACTGATCCTTGCCCGTTTACGCCATGTTTTATATCAGACTTTAACACATCATATTGAAGGGCAGGTTTGCAATGGCTTGGTTCCAATTTTCTCCTTTTGCATGTCTCCCTAAAGACAGACATAGTAAAGGCCTTTTTTTCTGAGGCGTTTTTTATATTAAGTATTTAGTCTTATATACAAGTAATTATCGAAATTATAAATAGCAGGTAGGTTATTAATTGAATAAACGTAGTTCAAGGTTATCAATGGAAGCTTTTAATATTATAAACAAAAAGATCTTACCCGAGCATGTGTAGACAACACATCAGCGTGCCTACAATAGCAGTGAGGCCACCCACACCCAAACACCCTAGGGTGACCATCAAAAACCAATCTGGAACTGTAAGAAAATAAGGGATTTAAATTGGTTAAAAATGTAAGCTTAATTAGAACTGAAAGAAATGTAATATGGATTCTTAAAATGTATGTTGTATTTGTTCAAATACATGTATATAATTACTTTACAACTTACGTGGCTCTGCCTGTTTGATTTCTCTGTTGACTTTGATAACTGTGTCGACATCTGGGTTGGCATATTCAGGAACACACTGAGGAAAAGGTCCAACCCACTTGTTGTTTATACAGTAGACGTAGTTAAAGCCCTGTATAGAGAATCCACTTTTACACCAGTATCTGTAGGCTGATGAATTGATATACCTGCCCCCGCCCGAGGCGATTAAGGGAGGAGTATGACACCTTTGGGTGTATATACTACCAGGTGTTGTACCGGTTGTTGTGGTAGTGGGTGTTGTTGTGGTAGTGGGTGTTGTCGTTGTTGTGGGTGTTGTTGTCGTCGTAGTTGGTGTTGTTGTTGTCGTAGTTGGTGTTGTTGTTGTCGTAGTTGGTGTTGTTGTTGTCGTTGTGGGTGTTGTTGTCGTTGTGGGTGTTGTTGTTGTCGTAGTTGGTGTTGTTGTTGTCGTAGTTGGTGTTGTTGTTGTCGTAGTGGGTGTTGTTGTTGTCGTAGTAGGTGTTGTTGTCGTCGTTGTGGGTGTTGTTGTTGTAGTCGTGGATGCAGTTGTCGTTGTACCTTTCGGTTTTTTAGTTTTGTCATCATCTTTTTTCGCATCCAAAAAACTACTAGTTATCAGTAAAAGAACCAAAATCATGAACGTACTCATTTTGTCGATCCTTGATCAACTTCTAAACACCTTCGTCGATTAATTCATGTATCATAATAGCAAAAACAATAAAGTTAGTAAAACATGATCGGGTAAATCCCGAAGCTGATATCGTTTGTGAAACACATTTCCAATGGTAGTCTTGATGTCCGTACACTGGTATGTGTACCATTTCCTTCAGGGGTAATGCTGTAATGGTATAGCTCTGAACAACCAGTAGCAACCCTATGTTACGCCCTACTGTTGTATTGACATTTGAGTTAAGAACCACCATAACAAATCCTATATTTCGCCATATTATTGTGTAGCGCCAGAGTGGTGAACCATAACAAATCCTATATTCCACTTATTTGTCAAAGGTTAGAACCACATGTGTTGACCTGATATTCTGTCTTGCTGTCAAATAATAAATGTGTTAATTAGTTATTCTATTTTAGCGCTATACACTTCCAATGGACACCGTTTTATACTACTTAGTTTTCTTTATCAGTGAATACATGTATATATGGATTTGTTCAATAATCTAACTAACTCCGACATGTAAGCGACTGTTAAATTATTACTTGGTGTTACTAATTCTATTAATTCTTTAAGTAATTGACACTTTGGTATGAGACATTTTGACGGAAGCATGACATATAACGTCCCTCCATTTCCTGTCCCTCCATCTCCTGTCCGTCCGTCTCCTGTCCCTCCATTTCCTGTCCCTCCATCTCCTGTCCCTCCATCTCCTGTCCCTCCATTTCCTGTCCCTCCATCTCCTGTCCCTCTATTTCCTGTCCCTCCATTTCCTGTCCCTCCATCTCCTGTCCGTCCGTCTCCTGTCCCTCCCTCTCCTGCCCCTCCGTCTTCTGTCCGTCCGTCTCCTGTCCCTCCGTCTCCTGCACCTCCGTCTTCTGTCCCTCCGTCTCCTGCCCCTCCGTCTTCTGTCCCTCCCTCTCCTGTCCCTCCGTCTCCTGCTCCTCCGTCTCCTGCCCCTCCGTCTTCTGTCCCTCCGTCTCCTGCTCCTCCGTCTCCTGCCCCTCCGTCTCCTGTCTCTCCGTCTCCTGTCCCTCCGTCTCCTGCCCCTCCGTCTTCTGTCCCTCCGTCTCCTGCCCCTCCGTCCTCTGTCCCTCCGTCTCCTGCTCCTCCCTCTCCTGCCCCTCCGTCTTCTGTCCCTCCGTCTCCTGCTCCTCCCTCTCCTGCCCCTCCGTCTTCTGTCCCTCCGTCTCCTGCTCCTCCCTTTCCTGCCCCTCCGTCTTCTGCCCCTCCGTCTCCTGCTCCTCCGTCTCCTGCCCCTCCGTCTCGGACATATTCATTCATCATACTTCTATTTGAAGCCGACGTTTGAAAGACACCACTCTTTATAAAAGGATAAGACCCCTTTAGTCGAGACAGTTTTCTGGAAAGCAATTAAAAAAGAAGGGATCTTAAAAATATCAAATCCCCCGCCCCACACCCTCCGCTCGAAATAACAGTTTGGAATGTATATTAATACCAGAGAAATAACTGAAATATAAGGAGGTAAAGCCTTACGGCTATCCTCTGTTCTAACCATTTATGGCCATTTTAACATAGTAACATTAAAAGAAAATATCGATCACGCTACAAACAAAATCCAACAAACACTGAAAGCAAACCACTGAGAAGATACCAGCTACAGACGTCGTCTACTTTTACGGGGGCAACTGTTTTTCTTTGGTGGTTCTTACCAGGCAATTAAATAAAATCTTAAACCTTAATCTTGATAGCTAGAACAATTGTAGAACCATGCACGGATTATAATAGACCTAATACCTTAACGTCAAAACAGGAACTTGTGTTTTATTTGAAGGATTTGTTGATTACTGGTATGTTCCGAACAATCCAACATTTGATTACGTAAAGCCAGACGTCTTCTCACGATAATAAAAAAAATGAAATAAGTTTTAGTTTTCCTACAGGGGAAATTATTCTGAATAGACACATTCTAAGCTAACAAATATTTTTGGAGAAAACCTGTGCCAAGACGTCGAAGTTACAAATTAATTGTTATTTGGGTACACGGTTCATACGCATGGTTAACCAATCGTCAATATATTTGATTGTAACCCGACAAGTGTAAAACAAACACGTATAACGGTAATGATATTCGTGTTTAGTTTATGTTCATCAGAAAGTATACGATCGGCAAATGTGATGCTTTTAAACTTTTGTTTCTTTTCTGAAAGTGAAAGAAGAAAAAGAAAAATATGAAATCAAAACATGCGATTTTGAGAAGTTTATTTATTGTTATATGGTATTAATATCGCGGGTTATATGGCATACAACATGATAAATACTTGTGTATTCCATAAGAATAACTTTTCGTTTAGTTGTTTCAACCAAAGTTATGATAAAGGACTATTTAAGATAGTAAAACAGATGCTTGCCGATTATTTACTAATAGATTCAGACAAATTGATGATGACTTGTCGTTAAATATCCAAGAGCCTGAACAACATTTGCCTCTGATTTATCCTTCAGAGCATGAAATTAAAACAAGTCAAATATTCTTTTCTTTATCAAATATCTCGAATTTTATCTACATTATGATAATAAAGGTCAATTCTCCTCGAAGTAACTGTCTTTCCGTATTGTAGTTTCACGTTTTCTATGAAGTCTTGTCTTGTCCTGTCTGCGGACGCTATGCTATATATTTTGTCTGCATAACCTTTTATAAGATTTAGATAGCTATGCGATGTTCCTCAATAAATCTATACCATATGTTATAGGTAAACTTTCTAAACCCTCACAGCAAGTGACATGGTTTTAAAAAATAATTTTGCTTTATATCGGTGAATTGACAAAAAGTGATGTGCTCATGTTTTGGTATTTGTGATATGCAGGTAAAGCTATAAATTCACATATTCATCAAAAATGAGTTTCGGAAAGAATAAATCTGAGTGTTTCCTTGCTCTAACCAAAGTTTGATCATCTGAAAATGATTGTTACAAAGCTTAATGAGATTTACGTCAGCTTAACACAAATATTTCTCTTCCGTGATAATTTGATAAAAGATTTAAATTCATTAATAAAAGGTAATGTTTTTGAGTTTTGGTATGCTAATCTATTGGCATGAAAGCCAACAAATGTTACAAAATTTTAATACAAAAAAAAATATTGTTTTTGGATTTTGATTTGTAAAGCTAACCGTACTTTTAAGAATATATCACTGGGTTCACTGGTGGACCAGTACACACATTGGGCGATACAAGTCCGTCTCGTCACAGCAGGACGATTTTATTATCTCATGTTAATTGAGAATAATATCTTCATTCACAATCAAATATGGAAAAGAATATACGTAGATTGAGTGTTGTACTTGGCGGCTGATAGTTCTGTTATGACGTAGGTGTTTTGTCAATCTACCTTGTCTAGTCACCGTTAGGTATTAAGAACAAATGGTTATTATTTATACAGTGCAAAGTAACATCAAATATCGTATATCATAAAATATAAAACACATTTTACTTACGAGTACGGGGATACAAAATTAACACTATTAAGATAATCAATAACATGAAACAAATACAACACTCGTATATAAATTGTAAGGAAAATATTCAATCACTGATTAAACATAAGTATTTAGGTAATGAATATCGGTATAAAATCATTAACAACGATAATAATAAAAAATGAATAAAAAAATGTTGAAACAAAACAGAACAGTATTTTAATTATCTACTGTATTCTTTAAGATGTATGTGGAGATTCAATTGTGTAGCTTTGTAAATTGGTAATTTGATATAGGTTGTGCACTATACATGACACAAGCCGAGTTATTTTAACATGCAGTCATGGTATCTTAACATGCGGTCGTGGTATTTTAACATGCGGTCGTGGTATTTTAACATGCGGTCATGGCCTTTTAACCTGCGGTCGTGGGATTTTTACATGTGGTCATGGTATTTTAACATGCAGTCAGGGTATCTTAACATGCGGTCGTGGTATTTAAACATGCGATCGTGGGAATTTTGCATGCTGTCGTGGTACATGTATAGTGGCATGCAGTCATAGTATTTTAACATGCGGTAGTGGTATTTTAACATGCTGTCATGGTATTTTCACATGCGGTCGTGGTATTTAAACATGCGATCGTGGGAAATTTGCATGCTGTCTTGGTACATGTATAGTGGCATGCAGTAATGGTATTTTAACATGCAGTCGTGGTATTTTAACATTCGGTGGTGGTATTTTAACATGCGGCATGGTATTTTAACATGCAGTCATGGTATCTTAACATGCGGTCGTGGGATTTTTACATGTGGTCATGGTATTTTAACATGCGGTCCTGGTAAATTTGCATGCTGTCATGGTACATGTATAGTGGCATGCAGTCATGGTATTTTAACATGCGGTCGTGGTATTTAAACATGCGGTCGTGGTATTTTAACATGCGGTCGTGGCATTTTAACCTGCGGTCATGGTATTTTAACATGCGGTCATGGTATTTTAACATGCGGTTGTGGTATTTTAACATGCGGTCGTGGTACATGTATAGTAGCATGCAGTCATGGTATTTCAACATGCGGTCGTGGTAAATTTGCATGCTGTCGTGGTATATCAGTATTATTATATGCAGACACGGTATCTTAGCCTTCAGTTGTGGAATATGAGCATACGATCGTTGTAAATTAATATACCTGTATGGTCGTGATATATTATCATGCTGTCGTGGTTTACTTTCATACACTCGTGGTATATTAGCATGCAGTCGTGGAGTATTAGCGTGCTGTCTAAGTAGATTAGCATGCGGTCGTCGTGTATTAGCGTGCTGTCTAAGTAGATTAGCATGCGGTCGTGGAGTATTAGCGTACTGTCTAAGTAGATTAGCATGCGGTCGTCGTGTATTAGCGTGCTGTCTAAGTAGATTAGCATGCGGTCGTCGTGTATTAGCATGCGGTGATTTGACCATTTCAGAGCCATTCTAAAGTGTTATCTTAATTCAATAATTGGAAACAGTAGCATTACATCCCATTTGTTCGCATCCTTTTGAAAACATGCTTACCTGAAACTTATGACATCAATGCCCCATGTTAGTTGTTTTGTTTTACGATTATGCAGTAAGACAGAACAGGTAAATTCTTACTGATGTAACAAGCCTGCATAGGACTAGCGGTTGAGGTAGGAAAAACACGCTAACCCTAAAATTATAAGTAGAATGTATTCGTAGTGCTCTTTACGCCATGTGAAATCTCCCTAGCCTAATATACTGTGAGGTGTACATTCGGATAGGATCACTCTCTCACACGAGGATTAAGTTATCACAACATTTATCACGTTCGATGATCCTCTCTTCATTTCGTTTACATACGTAAGCCTGTCGAGAATAGTGTCTGTCGCCCCTTTATCCCCAGAGAGGAACATTCTGGCGTACTGTTCTGCCCTGATCTCCCCAGGGATAAACCCTTACACAGGTGATTGACGTTCGATGATCTTCTATAAATAAAAGACATCATGATTTACTGTTCGCTAATATGGCTGTGATCTTTCTTCACATGATAGTCCTTATTACATTAACAGATAAACGTTAACGGGTAGGTTAACTTTCTGTTGTGAAGATCCTTTCCCAAAGAGATTTGCACTTAAACATATGTACTAGATTTTTAGAAGATTAACAATGTAACCTTGGTAAAGTATTTGATAAAACATCGTAAAGGTATTCAACAGTGTAAACATGAATAAGCAACACCCCGGTAATTCCTAAATCTGAATTATTAGATAATGCCAATAAACTCTTTTCGACGAAGAGAATCATTTGAATCACTTAAATTGCACCCTCGAATTAGTTGAAAGTTTTCAACTTTAAACGCTCATTTTATAAGGCTGATCTCAAGTGAAAGTATCCGAGTGTATCGGATTGACATAGATCTTTGATAGTTGCATAGCAACGATGATTCTTAAAGACGTGTATAAAATGCCTAACCGATCCCGACTTCGACTTGATAAGCAGTTTACATACGCCTATATAACCGTTTGCGTTATAAGTTAATTTTTAAATAAAGCAACAAAAAAAGTGTTGAAAGTCTATGTACGATGGACTCAATGTTTTACTTGTCTTTACGTCCTTTGCACAAAGTTAAACCTAATTGTACCCCTCGATACTGAATAAAAGTTAAAAAAAATATGAAGTGAAAGTCGGTATATTGACAAACGCAATAGCAGGTATGACGTATATTCGTGATGACCTTTGATATCGTAATGGAGTTACCCATTCAAGGTGTTTATGTTTGTCTATATCAATAACATCGTCAAACCAGCATTCTCCATATATACTGGGGGTTTCCCA